AACTTTGATTGTGAGGTTCCTTAGAATAAACTTATTGCAGTTAAAATTAAGAAATTAAACAAGGTTTTCTCGTAAAAATGTCTGCTTTAGTTTCTAAATCGATAAAATGTGTCAGTGACCTTTTTTTTTGAGCCCGCTTAAAACGAACACGGACACTATATGGCATGTCCATATGGTGTCGAATTAACCGGGTTCCACTGTATCTTACTTTACATTTTTGTTATTTCCACAGAACAGCCGAGATGATAAGAGCGAGCAAACGGACAAAACAAAGAATATTATTACGCGACAGTTTCGTCCACGATCAATTAAATACAACTAGTTTAGTCAACGAGTCTAGAATGTAAACTCTTAGTGTTATAGGTGCCGAGTTCAAGCTAAGTAACGAAAACACGGCACCCAGTAACTTTTATTTTTTCGATCGTAGTAAAGGATTTATTCACGCACACAATAGGGTGTTTAAAAACTCCACAACCCTTTCAGCAGCTATGGTTTTAACGTTTACCACCTGAAGCATCAATTAAATACAACTAGTTTAGTCAACGAGTCTGGAATTAGACTCGTTGGGCTAACTGAGCTAACGGCAGTGTTAGCACTGTCGGCAGAGCGTGTTGACTGCAGAGCGGGAGGTCGCGGGCTCGATTCGCGGGGCCGGACCAATACTCAGGGTCTTAAAATAACTGAGAAATGAAGTTACTCTCTTTGCACTGCAACAGGCTAGACCTTTGCGTGGCTCTGATGACCACGTAAGATGGTTGTCCCGTCTCCAGTTGGAGACGCAAAATATAGTGTCCCCAGTTAGTACTTTAGTGTTAAATACACTGACACTCAAATAAAGTGCAATTTTTTTAAAATTTTTTTTCCAAGCATAGGCTATGCTTCTGTCACTATTCAAGATTTTATCCACAGGCTCAGAAACGGTTCATTCCAGCAAATTCAAGTTTCGTTCAGTTAATTTGGCTTAGGGAAACGAGTTGAGGCAGTGAGACTAAACACTTTCTGGACTGCTTTTTCTACACACTTAGTGGAACAAAGACTCGGCGCGACAAGAGATCAACATTTACACCTTTTCGCGCGCTCCGTATTTTTTGCTTGCATAAAAATCCCGACGGACTGTCGCAGTCCTTAGTGTCTTGTGAAGCCGTCTTGTTACTTTCATTAAGGTAAAATGTTGATTGAAGCACTGACTTTCATTTTACTCAGTCGAACTCCGATCTAATGAACACCCTGATTATGGATTCTTCGCGCACTTAACGTGTCAACTGGGAGCTTAAGCAACGACGACGGCGACAGCAACGAGAACGGCAAAAAAGGAATAGTTTTAGTTTAGCAAAACAACAACTTAGCTCGTGCTTCATGCTTTTTTGTACATTTCTTTGCCTTCGTTGAACGACTACAACGTGACGCGGCGCGACCTCGGATGGTCATGGATTCAATTCTCACCTGGAACTCGCAGTATTTGCAAAGCTTTTTAGTGTTTTATTTCTCCTTCTTCCTAATTATGCTTTGTTTGTAAGCCACTTGTTTTTTTCCTTTGAGGAGGGCCATGGTTTTTGGGCTCAG